ACATAGTGGATGCCCTTCCAGCTGCAACCCATCTCTGGGAAACATCCATAGACACTTATTCACACTCCTACACTACGGACAATTTAGCTTACCCAATTCACCTATACCACATTTTTTTGGACTGTGGGGGAAACCGGATTACCCAGAGGAAACCCACACTAATGCAGGGAGAACATGCAAACTCCACACAGAAACACCAACTGACCCAGCCGAGGCTTGAACCAGCGACCTTTTTGTTGTGAGGCGACAACAATACCAACTGCGCCACCGTGTCGCCTATGTACTGTATATTTAATCTGTTTTGTACAAAAAAAACCTTGATTTTGGTTATTTTAGCATTAAAATAAATGAAAATGACAAATATTTTCTTTGCAATTTGCTGAAATAAAACAATATGTTTTAATATGCTTGACACACACAAAAAAAGTAAAAATAAATTTTTTTTTTTTGACAAATTAAATAAAAAAATATTATTATTGTTGTTGTTGTGATGGTGGTTTATTCAGTGGTGACAACCCCTGACAAATAAGTGAATTAACCAAAGAAAAATGAATGAATGAATGTATTATTGTTTTTGGCTATGGGAAAAAAAATTGTCTGGAAATGCCAATTATAATTATACTCGTTTTAGTAAAATATAACTTTATTTTATTCTATTTACCACTGATGACATTTCTTTACAATTTCAAACTAAAACTTTGTCATTTAAAGCTTTTTTTATTGATCTATTTATTTTTTTTGCACAAAATATGCCATTTTTAAGACACTTATCCTTCTACCAACTTCAGAAATCAGTATTTTGTGAAATAATTTTCAATCACAAAAAATCACATTAAGAAAAAAGATATCAATCAGGAAATTGTAATAATTACTATATCATAATAACAGTATAAGCTACATAGGTTTAGTGTGTGTACTAAACCTGTAATTTCCAAATTACTGTACTTCACACTTTCCACACATTCATTTGATCATTGGCTAAAACTAAACTTTCACTAAAATCTATGCTTCATACAGTGAAATCATGTAGGCATATTAGCAACACAGACTACAAAAAAATAAATGTTTACTGAAGGAAACTTACAGGTTGACTATTCCAGCTTTGCGGACAGCAGATGAAATGGCTTTAATTGCGGTCAACAAGGAGTTGATGAGCTGTGTGAGTTCACCGGTGGCCCCTTTCGCCTGGCGGCCGGTCTCCATCACAAACCGCGTCAGGGTCCAGACATCCACATCAAACACAGACTGATCCGACATCCTCACAGCCTCCGAGAGTGCGACCAGCTCCAAAGACAGACACTAAACTAACAGCAGAGCCTCCAGCCAGTCCAGTCTTACATACACAGTGAGTGGACGAAGGCCAGAGTTATATTTGTAAAGCAGATCGAGTGACAGTAGTGAAGTCTGAAGGCTAGTAGAGGCAGAGCTCCATTTATAAAGCACGTTCACTGGCCCTCAGATAATTATTTATGCTCACTGTTGACACATGACATATACTCAGAGGCTAGGAGAGCACGGGTCGTGAAGCTTTGTTTATGACAATCACCTACTGGATGTCTGGTAAATGTATCTCATTAATAGACGTGCATTTATTTATATGTAAACGTGTCCACATAACTCAAAATCTAACCTGGAACTGTGACTAAACACATTTGCTGGAAAAGGATACGCAGCATGCATTATATTTGATTCACAGCGCAGAAAAGTGCAATTAACATGCTTTCAGAGAGCTTAATTTAAATGGTAATCCTCAACAAGCAGTGTTTATCACTATAAGTCAAGCAGTGGTATATAGTAGATGACGTTCTTCTGATTCAACAGATTTGGCAGGATGGCAGATGTATTTTCAAACAAGCTGCCTGCTTTAAATGTTGGTGCGACAGTGCCCAAAATAATAAACCCATTAGGATCAGAACCATCCATTTCAATAAAAGCAGAAAAGCTTTGGAGAGAACATTGAACACCAGCAAGTCATTTCTATACTCAATCTGCACATAATTCATTCTGAACTGCAAATAGAATTGTTTTTTTACTTTAAATGAGAGTTTAAAAATTATATAGAGACATACATGCACATATTTTGACCAAGGTCGTGTAGAGCAACACCTCAAAATGTGTCTCAAATGTCATCTGGGCCCTGTGCGCCTACTGGCCTTTAGAGAAAAGGTCATCGGCTCTTCATTTGGTTGCTTGAACTTGTTGTACAGTGTGTAGTGTATTTAATATGTTGATGTAGGAATGCATTGATATGACAAAAGAAAAGTGGCATATTCTTTATATTAATGTGCTCTAAATGGCGTACCGAAATGCATCATGTATTCATGTTATTCAGAGTATTTCATGAAAAGGATTCTAAGATCTCTGATGAGTTTGAAAACCAGAATTCAAAACATCCACATATTTTAAAGCTGCCATAGATTGAAAATCTGCTAGAGCTTTGGCATATCTGAAAAAAAAAGAGTTCGGTAGATGGAAATGGCATGCCTATAGGCTCAAACACTATTATATCCTTGTTTTCATGTAAATACAGTGAATGTAAAATCCTGGTAGAAAAAACAGGCCAATTGGAACAAAACATCAGCTCTGATGATCCACATAGGCTGAGCTTTATTGGCCACGATACTTTCTAGTGAGATTACAATAATAACACTACCATATTCTCCCCATCCTCTCTTTTCTGAAGTTCAGCATGTATACGCTTGTTAAGTGTGACGTCACCCGAAGCGGCTTCCAGGTACAAATGCTCTATCTAAGTGTATGGGGAGACTCAACAAATGGTAATAATAAATATTTGCAAAGCAATGTAATTCTTTCGGAAATCACGATTGCAATATATATATATATATATATATATATATATATATATATATATATATATTCATTCATTCATGCATTCATTTTCTTGTCGGCTTATTCCCTTTATTAATCCGGGGACGCCACAGCGGATTGAACCATCAACTTATCCAGTACGTTTTTATGCAGCAGATGCCCTTCCAGCCGCAACCCATCTCTGCTAAACATCCATACACACTCATTCACACTCGTACACTACGGACAATTTAGCTTACCCAATTCACCTGTACCGCATGTCTTTGGACTGTGGGGGAAACCGGAGCACCCAGAGGAAACACACACGAACACAGGAAGAACATGCAAACTTTTTTTATGAATTGTTAAAATATTGGTGTCTGTGATGCAGCAAGTGCAGAGATTGATGTGTACACCATGATTTTATATAAAATTGACTTTTATGTGTTAAATGACTAAAAAAGGCAGCATGGTGGCGCAGTGGGTACCACAATCGCCTCACAGCAAGAAGGTTGCTGGTTCAAGCCCCAGCTGGGTCAGTTGGCATTTCTGTGTGGAGTTTGCATTTTTTCTTAAGTTTGCGTGGGTGCTCTGGTTTCCCCCACAAATTACAGAGATATGTGGTACAGGTGAATTGGGTAATCTAAATTGTCTGAAGTGTATGTGTGTGAACAAGTGTGTATGAATGTTTCCCAGTGATGGGTTGCAGCTGGAAAGGCATCCTCTGCCTAAAACATATGCTGCATAAGTTTGTTCATTCCGCTGTGGCGACCCCTGATTAATAAAGGGACTAAACTGAAAAGAAAATAAATGACTAAAAAATGATCATAAACAAATAATTTTTTCAATTCAAATCAGCGGCTTGGACACGGAAACAGTATTTCATATGTCACCACTTAACAAGTGGATGATACTTATTATGTATGCTTAGTCTTATTTTGAAATGGGTTTTAAGCAAGAGTAAATTGTTCTGTAAAGCAGGTAATCATGCATGACCACAGAGTCACAATGCATTAGAACCCAAAATGTAGAGTGTTCAGATTGTAAATGTATTCAGTGCCACCCCAAAGAGGCATAAGGTCTGTCAAAATGTATCTTTTGTTATTTTAACATTCTCACCGTATTTTTTTAAAGTGAAAGGACGCCAGTAATCTTTAAAAAGTCAAATTTTTATGCAGATGTTGATACTAAATGTTGCCTGTGTTTTCAGATAAATTAAAAACTAAAAATAACTGTAAAATACATCTCAGCTGGCCCCTTGTCAAATAAAATAATAACAGAATAATAATAATTATTTTGCCTTTATTTCATTCAAAAAAAAAAAAAAACTGGACTAGGTTACTCTCCTTATAGCTAAAGTAAATCTTTTTATCAATTCAGTTAAATAGATTAACAATGGCTTCTAGCCATTTAACAAGCATCTAAATTAGTTCAGATATTTTTTTTTAAAACTAAAGTATGATTATTTTGCACATGTATTACAAAGTATATCACAGTGTGGGTGTCAGGCACTGATATGAGCTGCTATAGGATGAGAGTAGAGCTTATTAATATTCACAAACCTTCCAAATATGGTCAAAACCAACCGTAACATATTAAAGCCAATTGGGCTGGAGTTGTACCTGTAAAACCATTTCTGAAGAAGTTTTGCACTCACCTAAGCCACATACCTACAGAGAACAATTTAACATGCTGTACCAATGCATTCTATAGCACATTTAATATAGTGTCCCGATGTCACAACATTGTTTTTTTTTTTTTTAATTACACTACAAGTTATGTTGTTCACTGAACAAGCTAATAAACCGCTTACCTCAGCTACACTGTAATCAATTATTTAGAATTCATTGTTTCTCTCTTGTATTTGATTTAGCAGCCAAAATCTTGCACTTTTCTTCAGCATGGACGCACTGTAAAAGCCAATAAGGTAACTCAAACCATTTGAGGAAACCGATTGCTACAAACCATTTGAGTTCAAAAACTAATCTATACGAGTACTTTGAACTTCATCCATTTAAAGTTGAAGTAATGAGATATTTAATTTACCTGTTACCTTTCAACACTGAGTTCAAAACTCTTTTCAAATGAGTAGTGAATTTTTAGTTAACTGCACTCATTTCATTTGATAAACTTGACTGTTGGGTTTTACCATGTATTTTATTTACCACGTTATTGTTCTTGATACTCAAACATCACTTGTTTTGCCAAGATCTTTATTCACAGCTTCCTTCAACAGGGTAAAATTAAGGCACAATTGATTATTTGGTCATTATTTGGTCTGCAGTGACAGAAACAAGATCTTCAACGTAAATCTTTCTCATGAACTTGCTTCTGTGTTTTTGGCCATGAACCATTTCAGCTGCCAATGATGCTCATAGAGATGGTTTAATGTAGAAAATAGTCCTGGTGTCAAGTTTTCTGCTAAAAACAATCACCACTTAAGTCCACATCCTTTAAAACACCTCATATGTTACTGTGGAGGTACAGTATAAAAAAAATTTATTAAAAAAAAAACGGCATTTTGGCATCTTATTCTGGAGTGTCAAGTGTTTCACATTTTTTTTTAGAAGTCTTTGATTGTGATGTTATACATTCTGACTACTGATCTTCATTTGTGGTGTTTCTGGAAGATGGAGATGTACTCTTGGACGTCATCAGGGGAACCCATCACCACCGGCACCCGCTGATGGATGTTCTCCGGTTGGATGTCCAGAATGTTGGTGGTGCCTGTGGTGGCCATTCCTCCGGCCTGCTCCATGATGAAGGCCATGGGGTTGCACTCATACAGCAGTCTGAGCTGAAGAAGACATAAAGTTTTTAACTGGTCTTCACTCACTACATTCATTCAAAAACATTTACAGCTCACTCTTAAAAACCAAAGATGCCATGAAGAACCCAAAAAGAGGTTTTCACAGTGATGGCATACAAGAAACTTTTTTGTGGAACATTCTGGAAAAAAAATATTTCATAGTATGAAGATTCATGAAAAGTACCCATGAATGTTAAAAGTTCTTCATAGAACCATCAATGCCCCTAAAGAACCTTTATTTTAAAGGGATAGTCACCCAAAACTGAAAATGAACACATTATTTGATGTAATGATCTGTGTGGATGGGGATTGCTTTGACAACATTAATCTAGGTATGTGAAACGTTTTAAAAACACATACAAAATGTGTTTTTGTAAAAAGTTGGCATTTCAAGCCCATAGCCAGCCTGGTGAAAGGGGTGGTTCTTATGTTTCTCAAAAAGTGGACTTTCTGCAGTTATTTGATAATTTAATTATGAGGTTTAAATACTGCATTTTAGCAACATTTTAGGCACTATTTTTGCTAGATTAGTTAGTCAGATGGTCACAATTTTTGATGTACTAAAAACATTTTCTAAAGATTTAGAATAAAAAAATATGAAAAATAGGCTACTTATATTTAAATACAAATTCATTACATCATATATCACAAGGGGATGGGAAGCTGTTAAAGTTTAAATTAAAAACTGTAGCTTTTTGTCAATTATTAGGCAAATAACAAACTGGGCAGCTCATTCAACTTTCCTCAGTCAGAATTTGGGCATTTGAATAATAAAAAATTAATAATCATGATCATAATGTAAAGCTTTATGATTTTTCTAGCTTCTCTTGTAAAAAGTACATTTAATAATTCATGTATAACATCAATAGCCTAGTAAGTATTTTAAGTAACTTTAATATGGGCCATCTTTGGTGCTTTACATTTTATTGGTCATTTTTTTCTTTCAAGAATAAAGTTTCCAAGATTTAGAATAAAAATTACTAAAATGTTTTCTCTATTTAACAACCATACAGTGAAAGTTGACTTTATTTGCAGATCTTACTTTGGGTCTTAAAGCCTTTTTGATGGGTTATTTTGTTCATTTATGATGGCATAACAGTCAAAATAAGACAAAAGAGCTCATGTAAGGGACAAATACTTTTGTCAGTGGGGGGTGGGGGTGTTTTTAAAGTACCATTATTTAATTAATACTTAAAATTCTAAAATAAAACTTTGAATATATATATATATATATATATATATATATATATATATATATATATATTTAAAATAAAAATTTGACGAATGTTAGAAACATGCTTTGACAACATTCCTATCCTTTCCTATACAAAATTGTGAAACTTCTTGAAATGTGACTTTTTGAAAACAGAAAAATATATATTCATAGTACATTATTGTCTTTTAAAAGCACTGTAATGTAACAAGTACTCAACATTTCAATATACTCCCTAAAAAATCTACATGAATACATTTATATAATTTATTTTGAAGAATGGAACATGTAACTGTTGCCTTTCATAGTGGGACAAAAAAATACTATGAACGTCAAAGCTTACCAGTTTCCAACATTTTTCAAATCAACTTGATTGTTAAACAGAAAAAAAGAAACTAGTAAAATTTAGAACTATTTGCAGCAAATAGTGAAGGCATTCAAATTTTTAGTAAACTATTGGAGAGTCTTCATCCTATTAGCATTTGGGTGCTACAGCTCCATCTGCAGGAATTTTGAGACAAGGCAGACACAAGTAAACTTCAGATCTATTAAAATTGATATTGTAAAGCAATATCAAGGCAAAAGGTGTTTACACAAGTATAAATAAGGTAACATATCCTACTTCAGCTCTCAACTTCAAGCCTGAGCAAACACTGACACACCTCTAAAAGCAATGAAAGCAACTGGAGCAAAGATCATGTAGAATTTTCATGCTTTCTTTTCATTTACCCCTAGATACTATAGCAAATATATGCATGTGTTTAGATGAATTAAGCAATGTATTACACACACTGCAAAATATGGTCTTAAATAGTGGAGTGTGTGATGAATTACATCCTATTTATTTAGCTTTTCAATAGAAACTTTAGAAGAAATTCATAGGATGACTGAGGAGACGTTTACTTGATGCCAACAGACAAAAACAGCTTTTTTGAAAAGGTTTTAGAAAATCATATTCCATATTTTCCACAATTTAATGTAAACCACCTAAAATCTGAAGTTTTGAAGCATATATATTAAAATTATATTATATTAAAAAAAAATAAGTGTAAGTGGGAGGTATGGCATTGTAGGTGTAATTGTAGTGTATTAAAAAGTAACATCATCAGATACTGACTTGACATGCACAATACAGCATTTTCATTTGATTTAACGGATCTGTGTGAATGGGGATTGCTTTTATGTGGTACAGTAGGTTGTACTGTATACTCTTGGTTTACATATGTGAAACTTTTTGAAAACACAATGAAAAATATATTAAAGTATATTATATAATTGTATTTTATAATATATTTTAGTATATTGTTGTGGTTTAAAGCACCATAATGCACCATATTGTAAAAAAATAGGTAAAAGATTCTAAATTTCTAAATAAAACTTTATAAAATAAAAGATTTTATTGTAAGAATTATGCTAAATATTAATAATAATAATTAAAATATAAATACCACCACAATTTAAATTACAGAGCTTTCATTATAAAAGTAAGCACCTAAATTACATTTTTATAAAGGCTAAACAAATTATGAGGAGATTTAGAGCAACAAAATACTATTTATGCAATTTTTTATGCAAGTAGCCTGCTGTACTATTGTGAAAATATAATTTATTTGTATATAACTATAATGCCATTTCGTCCAGTTTGATCAGCTAAGTAAAACTGATTTGTGTGTGTGTGTGTGTGTGTGTGTGTGTGTGTGTGTGTGTGTGTGTGTGTGTGTGTGTGTGTGTGTGTGTGTGTGTGTGTGTGTGTGTGTGTGTGTGTGTGTGTGTGTGTGAGATATGGGCCATTATAAGCCTTATATATAAATAATAATTATAATAATAATAACAATTTAAAAACACACTTTCTTGCCATGTTTAGTCCAGATTAACATGTTTAAGTGAAACATAATAAATGCAGTTTAGTTGTGATAACAATGACAAACACGGCTGCCCAAAATCTGTGGCAATTTAGGAAAATCACAAGTGTCTGAATTGTGTGTTGTTTTCTTGATTTCAAGTTAAATTCCTGTAGGGACTGGGTGGCACTCTGTAATTTGTTGGCAGTTTAAAACAAATATTTACTCAGCATTTGATGCATTGATGTTAGTGTAAGCAGTGTAATGTGAATGTCAACAGTGTTTAGCTAAAGCAGATCAAGTACCTTTCCTTTGGGGCTCTTCACATTTGCAGGGTAAAGGAAGATTCCTCCGTAAACCAGCGTCCGATGCACGTCTGCCACCATTGAGCCTACATAACGGGCTCCATAGGGCGCACTGCCATCCTGAACACAGTTAAATCCTTAAGGTATTGGTGTCCTCTTTTTTATTTTAATATTGAATTTGTTATAAAGCAGTTGTTATATCAATGCATACTGAACCTCTGGAAACTTTTTCTTCTGCAGGTACTCTGTGACAGCAGGGTCAAAATAAAGGGCATAACCTTCATTCAGACTGTAGATCTTCCCTTTCTTCTTAATCTTCACATCTCTGTCCACCAGAATGAACTCGCCAATAGCCTGACATTTAAATCAACAGATAATAAAATGTTATAAACTCTATTGTAAATCTATGTTTTTATAATTTATGTCGAAGTAAATCATTATTTTTAATTATAAACAAACTAGCAATGACAAACAGTATAGGTTCATTAGAAATACATGCTTCAGCCTTTTAGAGATACATAAAATACGTCGCTTTGGGTACGTTTCAGATGGCAAATCCACTAAAGGGTGCATTAAAAAAATTGTAATGCTGAAATACGTTACTCAATGTACGTTTTGTTGAACATTTCAGATACACAAGCTTTTTCTACATGTCTACAAGAAGGTAGCGCTTCAATAGATCAATATGTAGATACAAAAGTAATGAAATCATATTTGATTACATATCATAGACACTGTTAACTTGTTTTGTGGTATTTATTTGTTTTGTGCAAAAAACTGCATAAAAATAATTTATTTGTCAATAATATGTCGGTGTAAATTTCATTAGTGTGAAAAGAAGCAAAATTTGTTGGTGTCATACTACCCCGCAGTGTTCATTTTACCAAGAGATTTAGTCAAACATACAGTAGTAGTCGGAATTATTAGGCCCCCTGAATTTTTATTTGAATGTTTATTTTTTCCCCAATTTCTGGTCAATGGTAAGAAGATTTTTTCAACACATTTCTAAACATAATTTTAAAAACTCATCTCTACTTACTGATTCATTTTATCTTTGCCGTGATGACAGTAAATAATATTTGATTAGACATTTTTAGGACATTTCTATACAGCTTAATGTGACATTTAAAGGCTTAACTAGGGTAATTAGGTTAACTAGGCAGGTTATGATAATTAGGCAAGTTATTGTATAACAATGGTTTGTTCTGTAGACTATTGAAAAAATATATAGCTTAAAGAGGCTAATATTTTATCCTTAAAATGCTGTTTAAAAAATTAAAAACTGATTTTATTCTAGCCGAAACAAAACAAATAAGACTTTCTCCAGAAGAAAAAATATTATCAGACATACTGTGAAAATTTTCTTGCTTTGTTAAACATCATTTAGGAAATACTTCAGAAAGAAAAAAATAAATAAAGGGGCATAATAATTCTGACTTCAACTGCATATTTAAGTACATTTTTGTAGTTTCACAAAAATGTAGGCTGACACATATTTCTATTTTTCTAAAATGCCTGCATTTTCTCACAACTTTTACAAATAGCTCAGAACACAACAGAAAGGTTTCAAGGTGACGGAAATGGACCCAGCTATTTAGGTTTTGGTTATCTAGGCTAATATTAAACAAAAGACAATAGAATCGGGATGTTAAAATAAACAAAACACAAAAAAAAACTCACCTTTCAAAGATCATCTACAACTTCACTGAGCAATAGTCACTCCACAATAAGCAAATCCCAGCCCAGCCCATCACATTTTTGGGTCCCCTTGAAACATTTCTGTTGTGTTATTTGTGTAATGTATTGTGAGAAAATGCAGTGTGTTTTCTTAATGTTTTGCCTTGAGAGGATTTGCAACACGTGTGTTGTCGAACGGATGAAGATCTTTCCTTAATTTGCTGGTGTTTTTTTTTTTTTTTGTAATTGCATGTATTTTCTTAAATTGCAGCATGTTAAGCTCTCTTGGCCACCATAATTTATGCTATTTTCACCTCTTTATTGTCACGGACACGGTTTGAGATGTGCTAATGATTACCACAGGGGGAAAAAACTTTAAAAAAGGTAAACAAGAACTGAATAAACAGTAATAACGCCAGTAATAACACTGACTCACTGCTAAAAAAATCCCATAACTAATTATTGTGCAGGTTATGGCGAGTAAAACTGACTCACTGGATCTAACATGAAGCAGTTCACCCCTTGACCGGTGGAGAGGACAATCATGGTGGCACTGCCATACAGTGCATATCCAGCAGCCACTATATTCCTGCCAGGCTGCAGTGCATCTTTTTCTGACGGCTCGCTGTCGGTGCACTGAAAACACAAACATCAGAGTAAAGAGCATTTAGGGAATCCACACTAACTGTACACCAGCAGATTCATTTAGTATATTCACTCTCTCATACCTTCCTGTAGATGGCAAAGATGGTCCCGATTGATGCAAGGCAGTCAATGTTGGATGAACCATCAAGAGGGTCAAAGCAAACCACATATTTACCCTTGAACACACGAATGACAATTTGGTCCATTAAATATCAGCACTGTCATTATGAGACATTTAATGATTAATGATAATGTTGTTCTGTTACTGTATTTAAGGACATCTGACCTTTCCAAACCTTGCTCCACCAGACTCCTTACTCAATAAACACTCATTTGTAAAACTTTATGTGATAGGGCTGGGCGATTTGGCCTAAAATCAAAATCTCAATTAATTGAACATTTTAACTTCATTCATTCATTTTGTTTTCGGCTTAGTCCCTTTATTAATCCAGGGTCGCCACAGCGAAAAGAACCGGCAACTTATCTAGCACGTTTTTACGCAGTGGATGTCCTTCCAGCCGCAACGCCTCTCTGGGAAAACATTTTAACTTGATTACGATTATTGAAAGATTATTTAGTTTATTTAATAATAATAATTATTATTTTTATTTATTTATTTTTGCCCTCATAGTTCATGGACATGCTTGGAACAGCAAATAGTCTCACTTATTACAAGTGAGTGATTTTTGAATGTAGGCTGCATTACTTAAAACAGTTGAAGGAAACACCTTATTTACTATCTATGATTATTTATTGAACATCAACTTTGAACAACTGAATATAAAACACACTTTGACTAAAACCAACAGTCACTTTTTCTTATAAAAAGTGAAAATAAATATGAAAAATATATATTTTCCATGTTGGGAATGAAAATAAGCAGTATCTCTTCTAAATGTATTGCAAAGTAAGGCTCAAGAATTGGTACTTTGACTGTCCTACTTGACCAGAGATCAGATGTGGCTGCAAAGTGGCTGCAGACTTATAAATCAGCCTCAACCAACAGAGCAGGGTTACGTCACTCCACACTCGGTAGGGAAAGTAATTGAAAAATTGTCCTGAAAAAATTAGATTAGATTAGATAAGGTTTTGAATGTCGAATTTGATTACTTTCCGAATAATTTCAGCCCTATTTTTGTGACCACAGAACCAGTCTTTTTGTTGCACTGGTATATTTTGGCAATTTGGTCAAAATTGTCCATTTTTCTTTTATGCCAAAAATCATAATATTACGTAAAGATGTTACATGTAAAATTGTGTAAAATTCTTGCCATAAATATATCAAAAGTTTTTTCATTATGAATATGCATTCATGAGAACTTAATTTGGACAACTTTAAAAGCAATTTTCTTACTATTTTTTTTTTTCAACCATCCGATACAAGATTTTAAACTAGTTCTATTCCAGCAAAATATTGTCCTATCATAAAAAAATGCATCCATGGAAATATTATTTATTCAATGCTCAAATAATGCTATTTAAATTTTCCAAAAAATAAAAAATGACACTCATGACTTGTGGGTTAAGGTCACATTTAGAGGTGTCCCATTTTGGTGTCTGCATTAAATGAAATAATAACACATTTGAAAATAAAATACAATAAAAATACAAACTTAACAAACTTATAAATGGATAAAACTATTTAATTGCTAGACATTGTTTGTGATGGAAAATAAAATAAAACAAAACAAAATAAAATAAAAAAAGGTCACAGTATATTTTTATAGTCCATTTGTTGATTTAAGTTACATTGCATCTACATGCAAACTAATTCTCATTAGATTATAACTGTTAGGTTGGAGTTAGAGTTATTGTTAGTGTAAGCTGACAGAGAGGGGTCTGAATGCAGACCTGGTGCAGTGCAATCTGGGCCGCATCCAATGCTTTTAAATGGGCTCACCTAACCATAACAGTCACAGTGATGTTACTCGCTCCATTGAGTGCATTGTGTCTGACATTGCATCGTTGGGTGATGCAATTTCAGCTTGCATCATAAAGGCTGCATCCAGATACTATTGAGCTGACATGTACTTGCAAAGTTTCTTATAGTGAGTTAAATGTCAGTTATAGGGGCAATATCAACAGACAGCAGACAGTCTACTAATGCTCTAATGTACCATCAAAATAAAGTGTTACAAAATAAAATAAAATAAATAAATAAATAAAATGAATACTTTTCTAAAACTTTCAGATGGGAACTAGTAACATTGATATTTTTATGGATATTTAAATATAGCTTTGACTATGTTAAATTATTTACATACTATGAAACAACCAGGACTTGAACTAAAATTCCTTCAAAGCCCATGTTTTCCACCCTAAAATATTCTTTTTTTTTCAACATAATACATATGTCTCTATGACATAACATAATAGCATGATACATATGACTCATCAATGGCCTGAATTTTGCATATTACATGAGCCTTGATCTCTGTCTAGCTGCTGAAATAAGTTGGAGTCACATGACCAGGTCTACAGGCTGTGCACAGGAAAGTCAAGTCTATCTGGAAACATTCTTGGAAGTCATTAGTTAACTTCTGACAAGTACTTAAAAAATAGTGATGTTTAAATAGAAAATTAAAAACTGATCTTGCTTAAAGGGTTTAGAAGTTAACATAATAGTTCTAAAGCATGTAAAGAGTCCTTACCCGTCTATCTGGCTCTACAACGATGGCAGTGTCATGTTCTTCAGTAACCAGAACACATGACGTGAATGAGGATTTGATCATGTTTATGACCAGGTCATTGGAAAGGATGTCCAGCTTTTTAACCTGGTCACCCGTCACATTGGTACTTCCAGCAATCCCATACCTGCCAGCAGTCATGAGATGCATCAAATAAGAATGTTATATAAAAGCAATATCCAACTTATAGAGCAACTGTTTGCATAAATGAAAATAAAAACTTGTGATATAACTGTTTCATTTATAAAGGTCTAAAAGTACCTTTTTTGTTAGTTCAAGCAACATTTCCTAACACTAATGCCATTAATAAAAAGAAGGGAAAAAAAGAAAATTAACAAATTTGATTGCACACAAATGTAAACAAGCTATGCAGTTATTTTCAGGATGTGCAATTAAACACAAAAACACAACAAAAATAATAAATTTGATTAATTTACTTTATATTTTATTTAGCAATTTTCCTTATACAGTTTTCATAACAATATGGGACTATTTGGAACAAAAATTACAAATAATTTCACATGAATTATGCATTAAAAGTGTTTTTGTGCTAACATCATTATAATATCATTAAAGGCCACATAACATATTATATTATGGCTGTTAAAACATTAAACTTCCTGAGAGACTTATTTGACAAAAAAATAAACAAGTACAGAGAAAGGAAACATCCAAAGGTTTCAATATTGTTATGCAATATTTCAGTATTGTTTAATAGTATTGCATATTATTCATTGTTTATTTATTTATGCAATTAAATTAATACTTAATTTAAATAAAGGTTTTACTTCAAGTTTTATGTCAGTTTAATGTAAATAAAAATCATTTTTTGAGGTAAAATACAGTTTTGTAGGATGTCTTCGTTACTTTAACTTTTAATTTTAAAAATAATTTAATTCAGCACATTTTACTTTCTTTTTATTTCATGTTTTATGTCAGTTTGAGATATACATTAAAGCCTATTTTAACACTTTATTTTTAAATGCTGCCATAATGCAAAACGTGTTTCTAGTGTTTTTTGTTTTGTTTTTGCAACTTAATGGAGTCCCCATTCAAAGGTGAGCATAAGAAAGACCAAAGTCCATTTCGAGATCTTCAGAAATACTTACAGATGCGCGATGCCCGCTTTCCTGACGGCGCTGGATATGGCTTTGACAGCCGTGCACATCGCGTTCAGAAGTGTTGTCAGCTCGCCCGTGCCTTTAGCTTTTCTGCCCTCTTCAAGCAGAAATCTGGTCAAAGTCACAACATTAGTGTCGAAGGAACCCCGGTCTGACATGCTTGTAGATTTTGCTGTTTAACAAAAACTCGCTATTGTATTAATAAAATGTGTGAATCGTGCAAAACTTTCTTTCGCGAAAACAAAAAATAGGAAGGCGGAAATGTTGGTGGAAAGGGGAGTACAGAGAGCTAAACCAATGAGAGCCGCAGAGGTGTGACTGACTGACTGATGCGTGCAAGTTTCAAAACAATGTTGCATTGTGAAGGCGGGGGTGTGGATGAAAGACCCCTCATGCCTGATCTCTGCTGTGTCATCATGAACATGAACCGACCCAGAGAGAGAGTGAGAGCCCAGATGACGTGGCTATTCAGCACATACACATATCTGTAGGGCCCAATGTTTCTCATCAAAAAGTTTGTTTGCCTTTTGAATAATCTCTTTTTCCTCTTGACAGAGTTTCCTGTCACTGACTAGGCTGGCTTTTAGAGAGGTTTAAGGCACTTTCTGACCTGTTTTCTTTGGTTGTTTTGTTCTCAAGCTAAATATCAATGTAAAGCAGAGTAGTTCCCATCACACACCAAACACAAGAGATTCAACAATTACTGAGTTATAGGCCTACTTCAGGAATATATAGGCAAAGCATTTCACCAATGTGTGTGTGTGTGTGTGTGTGTGTGTGTGTGCGTGCGTGCGTGTGCGCGCGCGCGTGTGTTCAGGATTTTGTGTATTCTGGTTCCATACTAAACTACCTACAGTAACCACTAGAGGTCAGCCCAGATCAAGTGTTTTCAACCTTCGACTTTTTATACATTTTAACACTAACTGCATTTGTAACATACATATATTTTCATTATTTACTATATATTAGTAAAAGCGTCATAGATCATCATCAGTTAGAAATAATTATTTTGAAAATGTACATAATATGCAGTTTGTATTTTAAATTTGTACATTGAAATGAAATAATCTAATTTCTAATAGTTAAACTGGTTAAATAAAGAACAATAAAGTTCAAAGCTGAACAAAGCACCAATCAATAAATAGGTGCTTTGATAAATGTCCACTTTGCAACAAGCAGGATGTTTGTTTGTTTATTTGTTTGTTTGTTTTTGTGAAGAGTTACTAGTTCTGCATAACCTTTTACAAACACCTACATTGCTGATGTTTGACTTTGAAATCCCTTCCTGATAATAGCTTATGCTGTATATGCGGTCTCATCATGTACAATTTAATTCTAGAAACTGTTCTGGAGAAGGCTGCATGGTGGCGCAGTGGGTGGCATGTTCGCCTTACAGCAAGAAGGTCGCTGGTTCGGCTGCCTTTCTGTGTGGAGTTTGCATGTTCTCTCTGTGTTCGCGTGGGTTTTCTCTGGGTGCAGATTTCCCTCACAAAGCCAAAAACATTTGGTATAGGTGAATTGGTTAGGCTAAAATTGTCCATAGTGTATGTGTGTGAATGAGTGTGTATGGATGTTTTCCAGTGATGGGTTGCAGCTGGAAGGGCATATGCTGTCTAAAAAAAATTGCTGGATAAGTTGGTGATTCATTCCACTGTGGTGACCCCTGATTAATAAAGGGACTAAGCCTAAAAGAAAATGAATGAATGTTCTGGTGTATTTAGTATTCTGTGAACACATCCCAGCCCAACCCTAAATACAAATCACATATCAAACTTGAAAAACAGAATCATGTCAATGTGTCGTTTTTTTAAAAGAACTTTGTCATGCAAAGTAGCCCGGTACAAATAATTCAAATTGCATGTCGATTTTATTTTTTTTCCAGTTCTTTTTTCCTATAGCGCTTTTTACAGAGTAGATTGTATTAAAGCATCAGTCAACCATGACACTGTCTATAAATCCTCATAAAAGGTACTGTCTGGTCCCTTGTCTAGCTCCATTCAAAATACTTGAAAATCCTTATAATAATCAGAAGAGCTCTATGAGTGAGTTTTCAGAAGGTATACATTTATTTCTAATTAATCTTCATATGATAGATCAAGGGTACACATTACACTGAAAGAAATTGACTAATTGGATTTACTAAATTATTTAAAGGTAAGTAATTGCCAACAATTTGGATGGGCTGAATTTAAACAAACAAGTTAAGATGAACATTACTAAATTTAATTTGTTTAAATTCAGCTCAAAATTGTTTGCAACCATTTACCTCAAAATAATTTAGTAAAAAAAAAAGTTTTTTTCAGTGTAGAACAATACCTAAAAAAGTATACCTTATGCGTTTGTACTAATATGTACACTGAGGCACCCATAAGGACCCATTTAGGTACACATGTGTTAACCTTTTGATAAGGTACCACCCTAGAGACAGCTCATGAACCTTTTCTGAGTGTAGAAATGTAAGAAACAGAAATGAGACTGTTTACATTAATATCTTGGATTGCATTAAAGATTTTTATTAAAATGTAAAATGTTCATGTCTATTGTTTTTCTCACTTCAGTGAAATGTAAAAGCACCCACTTAAAAATTGTGATTTTCTTAAAATGTTAGTTAAAATGTAAAAAAGACTTAAGATGTTAATGTAAAAAAAGACTTCCTAAGTCTTAGAAAGTCTTAAAACAGTTTTTATTACATTGAAATACGCTGAAATATTGATATTTTAATAATTTAAGTGGAATAAAAACATTGTCCTGACATTTTGATCATATATATTTTTACAGATAACAGGTATTTTACTCTACTAAATCGTTTAATTCAAACGTATAATAGTCGGGTGACCCTGCTGCTCTAGTAAGCCTCTAGTAAGAGGAGCAGAGCACCTGCCTTTGTGTACTCAGTTATGTGGACGTCACGTTCCCACGTCAGGGAACATGTATTGTGCGCTCCGCTCGGGTCAGTGCAGCGCGGTCCCGCTCTTGTGCGCATGAGCGAAGAAGAGGACACTTTCACCGGGACTTTTACAAAGGCAGCGCAGGGACGGGAGAGGACAATATAAACAAACTTCTTTGGGAAAAGGTAATTCATTGTTCTTTTTTTTAAGAAGCCGCTGACCGCATGTTTATAAACTAGACTTTATATCACTCACTCACTCACTCACTTCAGTGCGCGTGCGAAACCTGATCCTGCATCTACAGCAGGTCTGCAAACACTTGCGGCTTTCTGTGGAATATGTTAGAGCGATACATTTTGTTTTAGATTATATTAACGATAACTAATTGTGGAAATCGTATAAAAATAAGTTTTTGTTGTTTTTTGCTGAAGGACAAGCGTAATAAATGCTGTGGAGGAGTGAAGGTGATTGTTCGCACGACTCTTGTTACTTGCCTCGAAGCATAGATAAGAGATTACAATATAATTTTAATGGTTAACAGGGTCAAATCTTTGTGGGTTGAGACGTTAGCTTTTCCTTCAGGTGTTGTGTGTTTAGACTCGGAGCTTTGTGTAATTGTAAGTGCACCTTTTCGATAGAAATGTTTGATGCTTTTTTAAAACTGAATGTGTTTGGAGGCGTACGTGTGATCTTTTATTTTTGTGATACTCCTATATTTAATCTCTATATTGTTGTTTTATTTCTGTTTTGAGTAAAATTGAGGTTGTCTTTTAAATAGTTTGGCGTTTGGTTTGAAGTTCTTATAACACTTACTTTTAGGAGAGCATGACTAACATCATGTTTTAAAGTCGTTTATTGTCTTGTGATACGTTATTAAATATGTTTGTCTGTTATAAATTAAACAAGTTTAAAAATCTACAACTCACCCCAAACAATATTAATGAAAGACTCTGACAGGACTTGTGCTGCACAGTCACCAATTTCCAAATGTATGTAAGTGTAAAACATTTATATGCCATAAAATGTATCTTTAAATTCTGATATGGACACCTCAGTCACTTCAGTCATGTGTGCAAATGTAATATGTCCATATATTTGCTTATTTCTTTTTGGCTCTTACAGTTGTCCACAGTGTCTTTTAATAGAAAGAAATAGCCTCATATACATAATGTCCAGCTAATTTAAAAATTCTTCAGATGTAGTTACAGTCCTCTGGCCAGTTAGCGGGAAGTAATTATGCCGGTTTGCCTTCCTGTGAAGATTTCTGAAAGTATGAACTGATTTTCATGATAGCACCAGTGTAAACTTTTGATATCTCAGAGCTCTTTGGTTGAGGTTTAAATCGTTGAACAGTCAAATATTGAAATCCACGTCATAAAAAAGCATTATATGGGAATATGCTTTTAGTAGTTGCACTATAAAATTGTGCTTTGTAATTTTAAGATATGCTGATATATATTAGGTGTGTAAAAAGGTAATGTGTAATTAAAAGATAACCTGATGAATCAGAGTCCATCATTAAAAATGAGTTCACAATAAAATGTGGCGATAAAGTGTAGACAGTGAATACAAACAAGGAAAAAATAATAATTCACTAAACAAAATGTATTCATTTTTTTAACCTGTAAAGTTTTTAGCACTGCGATTTGTTACTTACAGTTATTGCTGGGCAATATAGCAAAAATGCAATCTCGATTATTATTTTCCATACTGAATGATAGCAACATATATTTCGATATATGTTGTTAATGCTTCCAGATGCTTCCAGATTAAAAAAAGTACCCCACAAAAATTAGTTTCCATTAAATGACATAACAAATTTCCGGCCAATACATTTTCGGTGGCTGAAAATTTGATCATCTCGAAAGTTCAATACATCTTCAATCTCTACATCTTAGTGGCCAAAAATGTAATATCAACGCACTTTTAGATTTCCATTGTTGCCTATTTCTGCTGTGCAATTTGCTCTTAGATATAGAGAGATATAGAGTAAAAAAGCATATTGTTATTGACATAAATTTTATTGTAATTCAATATAATATCCTTTATCTGCCCTGCCTACAGTGTAGTTTTATAAAACAAAAGTCGTACAGAGGGTTTAGAGCCAAAAACTGACCTTTAACTTGTTCATTGTGTGTGCAGTGTTGGCATGCTCATTCTTCCAGGTTGGCACTTGGCATCATTGCCATGTACAGTCTATGAGACTCTCACAAAGACATTATTATGCTCTAGTGAAAGGGATTTTCAGCGACCTACAATATTATTATCATCATCAGAAATGAATCCTCTGTTTGGCGTGTCTGAAACAACGGAGCCCTTTCCCCTTTCAAATATCACTTATTGGATGCCTTAGTCCATCATTTCAACAGCAGACAGTTATTTAAAAATTCTTCCTTGTTGGATCCTATTCTAGTTGCACTGCTCAAGAAGTT